GAAACCGTTCATGTATTAACATTTCTATCAAAAACTGAGGTTTGTGGTGCGTAATTCAGTTTTTGTAGAGATATGTAACCCGGTCTCTCAAGGGAATGTTGGAATAGGGAGACAAAAGAGGACGGATGAGCACAAGAACACATCTACACACAGTTTTTATGCGGTCGAAAACATCTAAGCCAACGTAGAATTGGCTTTCATTACAGGCAGTGAGGTTTCAGTCTCCCCGGAGGCCCCCAAACTCACCCGAAAGTTATTTCATTTCCAACTCCATACATGCAAACAACATATTATCATGCTAATTGATCAGTTGAAATGTATAAAATACTAATTACTGGTTTATACTAATCTTCTTTGTGAAAACATGTTAAACCATATATATTTATTTTCTATTTTCAACAGTGAATGATTATTTTACATCTAGAAAAGAAAAATAAATGAAATTTGGTAGCTTATTACATTGAAACTATATTTTTTTATTATTGAAACAGCAATGAAATAGCAGTGCATGTGGAAGAAAGCAAATAACATTTTTGTTTGGAATAATAGAAAATTATTATTTTGCCATATTTTGAACTTGTTTATGTTTAACTGTGTCCGTAATTTATTCATTAAAATTTATATTATACTTTTTGTATATTGATTTCAAATTTTTCTTATCTTAAATGACGTCATTAAAATTTTCTTTGTAAGAATGATTTTTTATTCTGTAATATCTCTATATAATTTTCAAATATGTGTTTTAAGAAATGAGCTTTGGAGGGTTATATCGCAAGGTTAACATTGGCTTTCCCTCTCATCTCTGAGGGTTTCTGGGTCACACCATTTCGTGGCATCACCATCTATGATGAACACTCACCTTTTGCCGGGTAGGCGACTCATATCCACCTCGGTTGCCAAAAGCCCTTTTCTGCTATTTTTTACTTTCTCGCTTCCGCTTCCGCAGTAGAGAGAAAGTAACGTAATGCTGCGCGAAAAAAACGGCACATTTTCGAAAAAAAATTCTTACAGGGCCCTTCTAACAAAAAAGTGGATAAATCCATTTGATAAATTTAGAAAAATTCCTCTAACACAAGCCAGAATCGATGGTGTATCCAGAATCCATGATTTGTTAGTCCTTAATACCGAAAATCGAATGACGGCAAGTTTATCTATCAGTGTGTCTGTCTATGAACAACGCAAGCGGCTAAAGCGTTCAGCCGATTTTTTTCCAAAATTGATATTCCCCAACTGATCTGGCTGATGTCGTGGTCTCTTGAATTTGAAACCGATATTTGAATTTTAGGAGATACATTACATAAAGCCCGTGTGATATTTTCCAAATTAAAAAAAAAGCTACATGGATTTTCGTTAAATGCTGTTGTTGGATAGTGTGAAGGGTGTTTAAGAGAATGGTGCAGACATCAGTTGTTGAAAACTCTAATTTTTCTGAAATTGTAAAAATTCAAGGTTTTTTGGGTCTTCCTACAACTACAACTATGGATATAGGGATTTTTTCCGTTAATGAAATCTGTTCATTTAAGATAGATTTTGAAATAAAGCCATGTACAATTTTTCGAAAATCTGAGTACTTTTCGCGTAATTGTGCGTGAAAGTACGGGCGAAAAAGAACGAGTTGTTTTAAACCACAAGTTCCTGTTTGACTTTGGTGGTGAGGTACAACGTAGGCCAGGTATGACAAATCGCGCCCGTTAAGCTACTTCTCCGCCTGGGAATCCTTGTGCTCCAGTGAGTACGGGCCCGAGCACTTCCCCTAACTTCACTCTCATTTCCCCTCCAAATCCAGAAAGGGGTGTACACTCGAAAACTTGAGGGGCACGTGGCGAAAATAGTGACATCATACAAAATATTTGACATATTTGTTCTATTGACATATTTGTACGTGTGAAGACTGAGGAGATAAATTAGATTAGAAACATTGACTATTACTACATCTTTCCAAATCGTCGGAGAGGTCCTGGCCTTCAGACTCCGCGTTTAATATAAAACATTCTTGAGTTTAGCAAACAAAATTTCCAACACATTGTACACCATTCAAAAATGAGTTTTCTTCATTAACTTTTCTAACTTTTTAGTATTTCTATTTAATTAAATACATATTTTTCACACGTGTTACTTTTATCCATATGCATTAGCTATTTGCGTTATCACAAACTCTTACTGAGGTAGCTGCCATTTATTCCTAATGTTAAAGAACAGGAAAGGATTAACGAACATTCGAAAGTTGGTTATAAAACTGAAGCTGCTACCTGCTTCATTGTTTCCACACTGGATAGCGACAATTTGATAACTAGTGCGACACAGGCTTGTCAGGCCTTGGCCTCACTTGACTGTAAATATTCTGCTTCAGAAAAATGGTTGATCGATTGATTGATTTGTGATTCGGGGCGCGTCAACGGTCAAGGACTCAGTACCGTAAGTGCAGTGCATGTTTTCATTGCGGGGGGTGGCGGTGATCTTCTCCCGCTGACTGGCGAGATCCGGCGCCGAACTTCCTAAGCTTGCGGAGATTTTCCCCAACCAGGTATCTTCCAGTAACGGGCACCTCTCCAGCCCGAAAAAAGCTCTAAGCTCCCTACAAGTGTGATGATGCACTGCATGTAAGTGTGTGTGTAAGTTAGGGATGAAAATACGTTAAAGAAGAGGAAGGAACAGTCCCGCGCGGTCCGTTTGTATTGTGGTACTCCGGCATTCGCCTGATGTTGATCGGAGAAACCGATCAGAGCAGCCGGCCGCTAAAATTCTCCTCCAGACAGCGACTGAATTAAACCTAGCTGTTCAGATATTATCGAAAAATCCTGCCACAGCGGGACCCTAGTACCTCCCTGTCAGAGACACTGCAGTGACATCAGTTGCTGCCCTGAGCCACCTTTGCCTGTTGCTTTAGGGGGAAAAAATGAATGCCGTTCCAAAGGGGGCGTCGCCGTTATCGGGGTGAGGGTGAGGGGTGAGGCTGTCGCCTGGGGCGCGGCGTGGAAGGGCCGGCCGCCCGCGCGGGTCAGCCTGGGGTGGCTGCCGGAGCGCGCGTCCGTCCGTCATGCTTTCAGAGCGGCAGGCGTCATGCTTTTCAGCGGGCGCGAGCGCAACAGGTGGTGCGGCGGGCACCGGCGGCGGCGGCGGCGGCTGGGGCAGAGGCGGGCGTCGGGGGCGGAAGGGAAACTAAAAATGGGCGAGGAAGTGCTAGGAATGGGTGTTTGCAGAAGTTGCGGATTAAGTAATGGCTGATTGGAAGAACAATCACGTGGCACATGTTGCACTCTGGTTGTGCTGATTCTTTGTAGAACAATACTTGTTTAGTTTGAGGTTAATGTTTAAGTTTTTTTTCGGTTTAGTTTACGTTGAGTTTAGGTTGATGTTTAAGGTTTGAGGAGCTGTTAATTATATACTAGTAACAGCCTATTTTCACACAAATGAAATAAAAAAATGCTTTGAACATTGCTACAGCTGATTTGGAGTTCTATTTAATTTCATTTAAATACATAGAAATACCTCTTAATTCAGTACTCCTGCGCAACTGATAACCTAATTCAGTACTTTGGTATATTATTATTATTATTATTATTATTACTATTACTATTACTATTATTAATATTATTGTTAATGTATAATGCCAAGTCCTGAGATATATTCTTAACAAGAAGCAAATAATTGTGTTAGATTACTACAGATATATCGTAATAAGTGTTATAAATTTCTGTAGAAAGATTTGCTGTTTGCTGGGTAACCGACGTTTGTTTGATTCAGAACGTGAATCGCCTATGCATGATGAGCTACATACAAATTAGCAGCAAGTTACATGAAGTTTTCTATCAGATTATAATTAGCAAACGGGATCACTTTCGATCCATTAAATGCCTAGAAGTTTGCCACATTTATTCTGACTCATTTTGAATGCTCAAAGAGCCGCAGATGTTACGTGATGTGCAGTATTGGTAAAGAATTTAAGAGTAACAATGAAAAAACACATATGATTAGTCTATATTGGGTAAACAGACTGGTTTCTTGTACTTTTTCGATTTATTTGTAGAGGCGCTTGACGTAAGTCGGCTATTGCCGAGCCACCCAATCGGGAGCTTCAACGTCAGTACAGTAACGTCAGTATGGTGATGTTTCTTGCTCCAAATTCTATACCACCGTAACAGCTGACTAAACGCCAAGTGCCATTAGAAATAAAACGAAGTATTAGCATTTGCCCTCCAGCAGGAGCGACGCAGGAGCCCGAGAGCGCGCAAGAAGGCAGCGGAGGCGCATTTCACTGCACTGGCTGCGTTTTGATTTATTGACGTATGATGAAAAGTTCTGAGATATATTCTTAACAAGATGCAAATAATTATGTTACATTACAATAGATACATCGGAATAAATGTTACAAATTTCTATAGCAAGCTTTCGTCTTTGGCTGGTAAACATTTGTTTGACTGATTCAGAACGTGATTCGCGAAAAAACCTATGTATCATGTTATGTATATAAATATGCGGTTATGTATATAATTTAGCGGTAAGTTGCATGACAGTTTTCTATCAGATGGTAATTCGAAAACGTGACCACTTTCGATCCCGTAAATGCCTAGAAGTTCGCCACATTTATTCTGAGTAATTTTGAATGCTCAAAGAGCCGCAGATGTACAGTGATTAGATGTGCAGTGATGCACAGTATTGGTAAAGAATTTAAGAGTAACAATGAAAAAATACTTATGATTAGTGTATATTGAGTAAAGAGACTGGGTACTTTTTCGATTTATTTGTAGAGGCACTTGATGTAAGTCGGCTGTTACGGTGCCATCCAATCAGGAGCTTCAACGTCAGTACAGTGACGTCAGTATGATGATGTTCGATCCCCAAATTGTATACCACCGTAACAGCTGACTAAACGCCTAGTGCCATTACAAATAAATCGAAGTATTAGCATTTGTAGGAGCGACGCAGGAGCCCGAGAGCGCGCAAGGAGGCAGCGGAGGCGCATTTCACTGCAGTGAGGCTGCGTGTGTGGTGTCGCAGACGTGACGGTGGAGCGCGCGGGCGAGTGCGAGGCGAGCGAGGGCCAGAGCCGCGCGCCCGAGGGCGAGGACGAGGACGCGTGCCAGCGCGCCGCCGCCGAGCCGCGCGTCATCGACCGCCCGCTCTTCTGCGCCAGCGACGGCCGCACCTACTACAACCACCGCCACTACGCGTGCGCCGTGCAGCGCGACGGCGACTGGTTCCCCTGTGAGTCTCTGCCCACGCGCGCCTGCCTCCCCCCACGGGGGGAGAGGTGCTCTTCAACGCATATCAAAAGCTCAAAATGTTGCACAATCTAACAGGGTTAAGGATGATGCCTACAATGAATTGCTTAGGGTTTCCGGGTGTGTCGACTACTGCTTCTTGGTAATTTTTCGTGAATTTGAAAAGAGAAATCATTCTCTTCTTGAATATAAATTGAATTCAATAATACGAACTGAATTAAAATGAAGTATATGTTTTCTCTTTTCAAGTTAACTTAATATATATCAGACCTCGTTTGAGGAGCAAACATTCGAAAGGGGACGTACAGTTCACTTGTTTCCAATAAAAACGAAAAATATAGCACAAATTTTACACTTCAACACCGTCATTAACTCATCGAATAGAGTACTACTTAATGTATTGTAAGACATCTCACGTATTTTTGAAAATAAAATTCTAGGTAAAACAACACAAGAACTCATTTTTTGTCAAATGGATTTGCCACCTTTTGAATGGTTTCTTCTCATTTAACAATATGTTTTATGAAAATTTCGGAGTTATCTCAAGTGTAATGTTCAAAAGTGTGTAAATATGACGTTCCTCTCTCAATGAGTCAAACAAATTATATTTCCGCTACGTAGTACTTAAAAAAGAGTAACAACTATTGTCGAAACGTACTAACTAGACCAAAAATCATGTCTGTCATAATTGAATTATTAAAAAAATTGTCTTTAAATCAATTCGACCGTAATAT